CCTCAGACTCTCCTCCTGGGCCTCCCTCTTCCACTTCTACGGACCCTTGTGATGACAGTGGGCCCATTGGGTAGCCCAGGCTATCTTAATTTCAACTTCAACCTAACCTCCCTCTGCCATAAAACCAAGCTTATGGCACCAGAAATTAGAAAGTGGACTTGCTGCTGGGGATGGGGCACAGAGGCAGGCATTCTTCTGCCTAATACACTCTCCTTTTACCACCAAGGCAAATGAGGGAGGTGCCTCTCTCCTTCTACTCTGTTACTTCTTGGCCCCCTCAAGGTTCTCCTCCAGGATGATATCCATTTCATTTCCCCTGTATAAAAATGACGGATGGCAGCCTAGACCTAAAACTCCCCCAGGGAGGGTCCTGGACCCATTTACATGAACATTGGGCAAGACTAAGAGTTAATGGAAGTTATACAACTTTAAAAGAAACACAACTGCTGACAAGTGAAAATTTCAATAAATAAATATATTGCACACAAGACAGGTAATTACATTTTAAACCACTAATGCCAGTAAACATAAACCGAAATACAACATAGCATGAGTACTGAAAATTTGGAAAGGGTAATAGACTTTTGGAAATCATTTTCAAGGGCATTTCCTTTTCTTCTTCCCCAGCACGGAAGCATAAAAAATGTATGCAATAAATATGCAACAGAAGAACACTCAATCTAATATCAAAGTGACTAGAGAGTTAATACCAGGGCTCGATTTGTATGTGGGCATTCCGGAATACAGAGCACTGAAGGTCAGAGGCTCTGGGTAACCTCGGCATGAAGAACATCCTTGCTTTACCAAGGAGAAAGAACCTTCTCGATACAAGGAGACCTATCTAAAGTCACAGCCCATCAAAAACTACTCCCCCCACCACCAAAAAAAAATTTTTGTAAGATTTGAATAAAGGTTTATTCCAAACCCCAGGCCACAAAAACCTATGCAGATACTACCAATATTTACAGTAAGGAATTGAAGCTACAAACCATCCTTAAATGTTTTTACCCCAAACTTCTTCTGGTTGCAGATAGGCATATCTCATGGTTCATTCAAGTCGTCTTTACATGGGAACAATTTGAAGGGAAAATAACAGCAATGAAAAATTGTGTTTATTCAAATTTATTGTATGCCAGGCACCTCACACAGTTTCTTTTATCCGATCCTCAAAACAACATGCAAAGTATGTAGATGCCAAGACACTAAGAAGACGCAGCTCTGAGAAGCTATGACATTTACCTAAAACTTTGCACCTAATAGTTGAAATTTAAACCCAGGAGAATCTACCTCTAAAAACCACTTATGTACTGTGACATCACACTGACTTCGAAATAAAGCAATGCAAAACATATATATTATACTCTCTATAAAATAGGAAGCCAATATTACTTAGTACATCTAAATTTAGGCACTGGAAAGAAATAGCTTAATTGGGTCTATAATTAAAATTCTGTTCTTCATCTTATAGGTCTTTACAATAGAAATTAATTATTTCTTCCTTTCTTTTATATGTAGTTTCAAGCTGCTATTAAAGAACTTTGGTCAGCAGCCTTTGCATCTTTTGGCATTTTACCACTAATGCTCACAAACACGGGCAGTCAAGGGAAAAGCAGATGGGCCTGTGGAAGCCCAGCCCAGCAACACATGGTCCACATTTAGTTCTAACAAACGGCACTTCTTAACCTCTGGGTGTCACATCACTATTTTTTCATAAGGCTACTCACTTGCAAGGAAGGTTCCGTTTCCAAAAAGAGGACAACAGGCCCCCTCTATGCTGCATGGCTGTTCAGATGCATGCAACGTGCCTGGCTCCCTTTCTGCAAATGCATTTTCTAGCAGTAACATGGCATTTGTTTACAGTGTCCGCCTAGACGGTAAGCCCCTAGGGGGCAAGGGCCATGTCTGCTATCTCATGTGATTAGATGTGCATGTCAGAGTAGAGGTGCTGGCAAGAACATACTCACTGCCATTGAGTCCATCCTGACTCACAGCTGTCTGACTGGACCCAGTAAAACCCAGGGCTTTTGAAGCTGTGAATCTTTATGGGAGCAGAAAGCCTCATCTTCCTCCTTGGACTGACTGGGGGGTTCGAACTGCTGACTTTGTAGTGAGCAACCCAATGCATAATCCATAATGCCACCAAGGCCCCTTCATTTTTATAGTGCTGTGCAATTTATAAATTGCTCTTATAGGAAAGTCCCCTAATGACACTGTGACATTTGCCACATTCTGCGTCCGCTCACAGACCGTTAAGCGATTAACGAGGATCACAGACTGATAGGCAATGTTGACTTCTTACCCACAACAGAAAAGCTTGCCTTGCATTACTTTATTTTCATCTTTTCAGGTTTTCCTTACAAAGAGTAATGCTGCTCTGCCTTATTTAAAACGAATGACTCCCTAGCGCCTGCTATACATATGCAAGACACTGTTCTAAGCGCCTTCTCGCTATTTACTTATTGAATTCTCCTAAGAGTCCCATCAGGTAGATATTATCCTTTCCCCATTTAACAGATGAAGGAAACAAGGCAGAGAGAGAGATTAAGAAATTCACCCAAAACTTGCAGGGTTGGCCACTGGCAGCAAGATTTGATTCCAGAAGTCTAACTCTAGAGTGTGTGCTCCCAACCACATACTGTTTTGTTTGAACAAGAGTCTACAAACATCCTTGCTACAGATAAGTGAGCACTTGTTCAACAAGAAAAATAAGCAGGAGCGGTAGGGGGCAGGGGGGGGGGATTTACTTCTACCCATGTGATTTATTTGATAGTCTAAAACCTTTCCTCATGCCAATAGAACGCCATGTAAGTACGATACTAAATTTTCCTGTGCTGAAGGCATATGCAATGCTTACCTTGACTGACATAAAATACTCAAAACACAAGCCCCCAAGACTTGGGAATTTTTGTTTTGTTTTGTTTTTTTGAATTAGACACATGAAAGAATTATCCAAGCATCAGAATTGTTATCAGCTCACATATGCAAGTCTTCCTCGGAGATTTTTGTATTTCTGAATAAAAAATGTTCCCTGTCTGAAAGACTTCAGTGTGCACTCTGTATCTGAGGTCAAGTATCACCTAATGTTGTTTTTAATTTTTCATTTTCAATTGCTCTTTCTGTGTGCGTAGGGCAAGCACTTGCTTTCAATATGATGTTTAAAACACGTTTTTATTTCAGTCATCTTGAAAACATACTAGTAAATAGCTAAACATATTGTAAAGATTTAAAATTTGGGGTGTGTAGACATATATCAACAGGAGTTATGAATTATGTATATCCAGAGCCTATATAAATTAGATTTTGAAGAACAAGCATCACAGTAGTCAGGCAGGTCATAATAAGGCATACCACGTGAAATGTAAAAACTACCTTGAATAAATTACCCATAAGTTAACACATTCATTAAAACGACATATTTACTATTTCTGGTTTTGTGATATTGCTTTAGTGCATTTTTACTAACTGTTCTAACTGCACATTAAGAAACCATTTCCCACCCCCCCCACCCCCTTTGGAATTAGCAGACTTGTATTTACATTTGAACTAAAATAATTTAAAATAATGCAGCATTAAAAAACAATCACCCACTTCCCAATGTACAATATCACTTTCTTCAGCCCAGAAACATTTAATTAAAGCCGAATATAACTTTTGTAATTTTATTTTGCACCAAATGACTCTAAAATTAATAGTCAATTGTAAGACCGTTTCGGAAATTGAGAAACTGACAGTCAAAACAATCTTAAATGCTTTGTTTATGTGATGAAAAGGAGTGATCCTTTAATTCCCTCACACACATTAAAATGATTCCACAGACTTTCTGTACTAGTGTTTAACATAGTCAAGTGCTTGAGGTTACCTAAAACAAACAATCTTGAGATCTTATTGCAAATGTTTGCAATTTATGATGTAAACTGATTTGTGAAGAAATAACAGGATCCTATGTCTCTGAAGCCAAGAAAGCATTTTTCAGAAATCAAAATAGTTCCGAAATTTGAGCATTGCATTATGCTAAAGCATTACCAGCTGAGGATCTAAAAGTTATAAATCTGAGGGGGGAAAAAACTCTGAGGAGATGTATATCATGTCGGCTTCAGCTTCAGGCCAAGGGCTGCTCATTGAAAGGTAGCCTGTTCTAACCCACAGGCGATCTGCGGTAGAGAGACAGGGTAGGGGACACCTTTCTAGCGTCGGACACCCTCCAGGGCAGTTCTTTCTGTCCGATGGGGTCGCTCTGAAGCACATGGACTCAATGGCAGCGGGTTTGGTTTTGGTTTATTCAAGCAAAGGCCTCGCCCTCAGTGGGCGTCTAGTCATTGTGGGCACTTAACACTAGACATGTCTTGAATAAGCTCATTCCCCAAACGCGATTGGTAGCTTGGAAGACTTTGCAATCGCCCTGAAAGAGTTGTGAGGAGAGGGGGTCCTTTATTAATCATTTATTATAGTTACTGACTTTCGACCAACATCACCCACCATGCAAGTTGGGCCTTCCTGGAATGTCAAGGGAAGGCTTCCCGTCACCCCTTCAGGGGACCTGTCACTGCCCGGTGGCTGCTCTCCCTGCCCTCGGGGTGCAGACCCGGCGACCTTGCTGCCCGGCCGGCTGGGCGCTCCCTTCCAGACTAGGCCGCGCACTTGGCCCGCGGGCCAGACGCACGGGCGCCCAGGGACCCCGCCGCGGAGACCAGCTGCTCTCCACCTCCTCTGCCCGGACAGAAGCACCGTTACCCCAGGTCCAGTTGGGCTCCGTTGACCCCCGGCCGGCCTGGGGGTCGCGCCGGG